ATTTTCTGACATCGGAATTCTATGGTTCGTATCGGATGCGACTGATCTCACTTGTCGGATCCGCTGGTTTCTGTTTGGTGGAGTAGGGTCGGAAACCCTGTAATCCGGTGGACGTTTTTGATCGGATCATTGTGGAATTTATCGGATTTCACCGGACGGCATCCGATCGGTTCCGGTTGCCGAATCGAACCGGATTTGAAAGGGGGCCGACAAGATCCGATCCCCCATGTTTCTCATGGGTTGTTTTACGTTATCGAATAAACACAAATGACATTGATCTCTATAAGAAATCTCATCAAATTTCAAAACTTTTGATCAATATTATTCAATATACAATGGAAAATATCGATACATATGGTCTAAAAATATCTGTTCAAATATTTTATGAAACTATGAAATCATACAATGATGATATACTGAAACATGTTGCTTATTTACAATTTAAAACTATTGAACAATTAAATATAACTGAAATCAATGATTTCACATTGATCACTAAAGCTGAATTAGATAATGTAATTCAAAATGTGACAATTACTGAAGTCATTCCAGCGACAGAAACATCTATATTTCAACCACAAACTACAATTGTTAAGAAGGATGCTGAAGAAACAATGTTGGATCGTCAGAATGAAGAATTAACAAAAATCGAAAAAGAACTAGAACAATTACGACAATTAGCCAAACAAAATGGTCTATCAAGAATACAATATGCTATTGTTATGTTACTTATGGAATTGCATGAAATAAAACGTAATAAGACTATTTTGAATGAAGTTGGACTTTTACATTGGCGAAAATCACCAAAACAATTACAACGACAGATAGCAACTGAATCTATTGAACATAAAAAATCTGATATCTTCAATATTAAACGAGTCAAACATGAAAAATCAATCAATGTTACACCTGATATGATTAAAAAAACGATCACATTTACAAGTGAAACTACTTATCGATTTTCAGACATTGAAAGAAATAATCTTATTACGTTAGTAAAATCTTTAATAGACGAACAATGTCCAGATAAAGATCTAGCATTGGAATTTTTAATAGATTATTTTCACCGTCAAACTTATGAATCAATGTGGACCAATGTGGAGAAATTAATCTATGATCTTTGTTCAACAACTGAAATTAATTCATCAGTTCAATCGATTATTGAAAATTTGAAATCACTCATGGCTATGTTTATCTTTCTCGATTCTACTTCATTAGCCGAGATATGTAGAGAACTATTACAATTCTGTCAAGCACATGGTAACAATAAAGAGGATCGTTTTCATTTACCAACACCTCGTTTAAAACAACTTCAAACAAAAACATTAGAAAATATTATTCAACAACGATCAAACCAATTACAAAATTTAAATCCATGCGATAAATCCAAACTTTTATTAATAACATCGATTGATCAAGATATTCAAACGTATGAATTAATTCACATATATCCACTTCTTGTTCGACTCTATGAACGACGTGAAGCTCTAATACGAATCTTACATGATCAATCAAATTATAATCAATCAATAGGTATTCAATTATCATATCTTCGATTATCTGATATCATTGCTCTTCTATTTCCTGAATTACCTTTATTCTTCATGGAATCATTGCAATTGGATGATTTCACATTTAAACATATCGAGAAATTGAAAAAATATTTGACAACTGCCGAATTTCGAACAACTATCAAAGATTTATACGAAAAACGATTTATTTTAAAAAATGACAAAGATGAATTTCTATGTTTGCTGTCATATAATAGTTCAAATGGAACAGAAATGCTCATTGAATCGATGCAAAGTTTAATTAAAAAAATGCATACAACAGCTGAAAGTGAAGATACACAGAATCATTGGTTTCATCAATTAACTGAAAGTAACGAATACCATTCATTTTTTGCTCTCGAAATACAATCATTACTGAGCAAATTATTCGATGAAATGCAAGATAATCTATCTCAATTTATGAAACAAATTGGTGTGTCCGGTTCTTATATAGCTACAAATTATTTGAAATTTTCTAATTCTATTGTTCAAGAATTTGGACAAGATCTACAACGATGTAAAGCTCGCAAAATAGCAATCGAGAAAGAACTTCATTCTCCTACATTGAGTGATTTCAAGCGCCGAGAATTAGAAAGAGAAGATAGCAATATGAATGACGAATGCATTAAATACGAAAAAGATTATCAAAATAAATTAAATAATGTAGCCGTTGAACGAATACGTCGACTTTTAGAAGTCAATCGTCAATTACAAGTTAAAGGTAATTATTTACCGTCACAACTAATCGAAAAACTCGAAAAATCAAGATTAGAAATCAGTGATACTCAACAACAACAAAAATTAACAACATCAAGTGAATTCTATGCGAATTTATTTCGAGCAAAAATACATCTATTAAAGATTGATAAAGCTGAATTCAATCAATTGAAATTTCGTGTAACTGAATTCATTCAAAAATTAAGAAATGAATTGACAAAATCCTATGATGAATATCATCAAGCACTTACATGGTTAATGTCAGATGATAATCTACATCAAATATTCAAACGTTTTCTTTCAGCATACAAATTAGCACATACTCAACTACTCAATTCATTTGAAAATTGGCTAAATGACATGATTCATCAACGAAATTCATATAAAAACGAAATCGAGAGAACAATCGATCAAACACGTGCCTATGTTAATGAAACACTCGAAATGATTCAACCTATAATAAGAGCTACACAAATATCATCGATCGCGATGGACATAAACACTGTTCATCAAACAGTAGAAGAACTTAGTCGAGTTGCTTTTCAAATTGAAAAATTTTCTGATGAGACACGAGTTAGCTATCGATCTAAGGTATTAGCAATTTTATTGTATCATTGTTCTAGTCTTTATGCACGTATTGCTGTGTTTATTATTCAACTATTTAAAATTCAACAATCAAATCCATTGATATTTGCACAATTGAAAACCATGTCAATCAAAATTGATAGAGAATCATTCGGATGGGATGATAATATGAAGCGACTAGTTATACTAAGTGGATTTCGAGAACGTTTAGATATACCTGGTATAAGTTTACCTGTTGACGAATATTCCTTAAAAGAAATACATAAACGTCTATGTCAAGACTTTTCCTTATTAGAATATAGTCTAAAGCTTCGATATACACATGCATTTGGCAATATTTGCTACGATCCAGCTGCACTAATCGATGATATAGAACGAAAAATGAAAATACTCTCACAAGTTGGTGATTGGAATGAAAGTAGTCGTGTTACAGAATTGACATCGAAAATAAATCCACTAATACAAGTCAGTTATAATCTAAATGTTCTTGTCAATAATACCCAATATTTATTAATGAAAATTCTCGAAAATAATACAGACACATTCGAACTTGAAACAATTAAAAACATAGAACCATTTTTAGGAAATTTGGTTAAAGCTATTCATTTATCATGTTCATCATCCTTCGAAACAATGTATCCAGAATTCTTAGACTATATTCTTGAAGATCAATTAGATTTATTATTAGATCAAGGATTAATGTCAATTAATAGTTTACACAATGAACGAAAGAAATTAATCGAATCATTAAGTCATATACGATCAATACTAGAAAATTTCGTTGATCAATTTATTATATTTTTTATTCAATTAAAACAACAACAGCAACAAAAAGAAATTGATTCATTTCAAAAAGAATATAGTAAAACGATTAAAAATCGTTTGAATCGTAATAAAATTTATTTATTAGAAACACTATCAAAAGAAAATTTAATTCGCTATTTTCATTATGATGAAAAACTCGATGAAGAATTCGATTGGTACAATCAATTAGCACAATTTCTCGTTCAAGGTTGGTCACAAGCATCGCGTATTCTTCGTTCATTTACATCATCAACAACCAGTAATCAACAATCGACGGTAAAACGATTACGATATTCATTTGCTTTCAAATTATTAAATGAAGAAGGACAACGAATAATCCTATTTCTACAACAAACAATCGGTGAATTAGAACGAAAATATCCTCAAAAAGAATTACTAAACGATGAACCTGTTATTGTTTATCTTGTTCGATTAACAAAATTACTTCGCTACGAATTGATGCGAATGTCAATGATGAATTTAAATCAATTAAAAATTGATTTGAATAACATTGATCGTCTCACTCTAAGACCAAGTTTGACACAAGTTAAATTAACAATTGATGATTGGAATAAAGAAATCGATTTATTACTTCAACAGAGAAAGAAAATTCGAGAACGATGGGTACAACGTATGAATGACGACTATCAGAGTAGAGTTGAAGTTATTAAACAACGAAACACACGTTTAGAACAAGAATATAATACAAAATGTAATCAAGTACATGAAAGAATTCAAAAAATAATATTAAACTCAGTGCAACTATTAAATGATATTAAACTCATTGGAAAGCTTCTACAAACAACAAAATTCATATCGAATAATTTCGATATAACAGATGTAGAAACATTAACGACTGATACTGTACAACTTGTTAGACGATTAATTAAAGCTCAACAAAAAATACCAGCACCTTGCCGACATCGATGTGAAGCTAGCACGACGGCCAATCAGGAGCGACTTTCAAATCGACCAATCAGCTTTCGAGCATAATTTACCACTCACACTCCATGAAATACCATACAAAACTACATTAGCAACCACACTATTTTACATACAACCAAAACAAAAATAATAATCTTTTCAAAACAAATCAAAACAAGTTTCTCAAACACAAAACATCAGCTATATGAGTCATCCATCCTGAA